TCATCTGTGTCTTCACCTACATCGCGGGACATTCCATTGGGCCCAGTAAGTACCTGTCACCCTCCCCCAGCCAGCCAGCCCCAAGAGGGTGAGGCCCAGGCGGGTGCCTAGTGAGCTCTTTCGGGGCCAGGCGCCACAAGAAGACGCCGAGCCAGTCCGGGACGCCCGGGTTCATCTGGAAACCCTGGACTTGCTTGGTTTGCCCGCTGAGCCCAAGGCCTCAGATGAAGGTGCCTTGGGTCCCCCTCGCCCACGGCACATTCCCGTGTGGCTTCATTCCCTGTGCGCACCGCTCTAGGCCCACCTCAGAGCAGCCCCCAGAGACCCCAGGCCGGGTCCCCTGCCCAAGTGCAGCCAGCTGAGAAGCAGGGGGCCGTGCCGGCAGAGTTGGCTTCAGCTCCTAGACCCCATGTGATGGAGGTGAACGGCCGCGCGGAGGCTATCACGTGCACGGAGGCAGGCAACCAGGGCTTTCTCCCAAAGAGCCACAGGGTGTGTTTGTACCTCCGACCTTTGGATTAACAGCTACGTGCTTGACCTTGGCACCACCGCGCCTCCTGGCTTTGACTCCTACTGCTCTCCTGCCAACATTCCCTGCCAAACTTCAGTGTTTAAAAAAGCTGCACACCCACTAGGAGAAAGGCATTGGCCCATGTAAGGGCATCGGTGAACAGCTGCTTGGCCCGCCAAGGACCAGAGCACCACAGTCCCATCGGAGGCTGGCAGTGAAGCAGAAAGCTTCCCTGGTTCACCTCAGACAGCAGGAGGGGCAGGAGGGGCAGGAGGGCCTGTGGGGAGTAGGCTGGAAGGCAGGGAGAGACTTGGGTTCGACCCCTGCCTGACGGTCGGACTGCTAGAAGCAAACTGCTGCCCGCCTCCAGGCGCCAAGCTCGTCCTGGGGAAGGTGGGTGATCAGGTGCCAGATGGGGTGGCAGGGACACCTGATCCAGGTCCTAATAGGGCACACAGTGGCTGCTCCCCCACAGAGAAGGAGCCCAACAAGTACCTGTCATGGCTGCCCCCTCAGGTGAGCGCCCTGGAGAAGTTCCTGCAGATACCGTTTTTTACCCTCCAGCACACCCAGACTCCTGAGGGGCTCTGCATCCCCGCCCTCTCCATCCGTCTGGCCATGGCCTTGCAGCAGGATGGACCACCTCCAAACAGTAGCAAAGACCGAGACCGGCTGACAGGGACTCGCGGCGAGCCCTGTGTTGGCAGAGTAGAACGGCCCTGGTCGCCGGGTCTTTCCTTGGGCTTGCTGGGGGGGATTCAGATGGCCAGTTAACCTTGAGGTTAGTAGTCCAGTGCGAAGTGTGTCCGTCGCCCGAGTATGTACCACCCCAAGCCAAAGCCAAACTCATTTCCAGCTCATAACCGCCCCAGCGCAGAGTAGAGCTGCCCCTGTGAGTTTCAGGGTAGAAAGTGCAGTCTCCCTTATTGTGGTTTTGAACTGCTGACCTTGTGGACTGCAGCCCAGTGCGTAACCACAGCGCCACCAGAGGGCCTTTAGCACCCTGAAGGGAATGGAAATTGGTTCTTGGGGAGGTGGGATCATAGAAAGCCACAGAGAAAACATACAGTACACAAACAGATATACTTACCCTGTTTCCCCAAAAATAAGGCAGTGTCTTATATTAATTTTTGCTCCCAAAGATGTGCTAGGTCTTATTTTCAGGGATGTCTTACTTTTCCATGAAGAAGAATACGGTACACATTTATTGTTGAACAATATTATTTTCGGGGGATGCCTTATATTTCAGCGAGAGGCAAAACTGTAAGTAGGTCTTATTTTCGGGGGATGTCTTACTTTCGGGAAAACAGGGTAGATCCGTGGCATTAACACTTCATTGCAGGGGGTGACCATCCAAGCGGGGAGTATATTCAGATATTTTAGACAAGGCGAAATGCTTGAAGAAATATTTGACTTAGTGGTTCTCAACCTTCCTAATGCCACAACCCTATAATGCAGTTCCTCATGTTGTGGGGGGACCCCCAACCATAAAATTATTTTCGTTGGTACTTCATCACTGTAATTTGGCTACTGTTGTGAATCGGGCGACCCCTGTGAAAGGGTCTTTTGACACCCCCAAAGGGGTCGCGACCCACAGATTGAGAACCGCTTATTAGACCCAAGGTAATGTGACCAGGAGATGCCTGCCATTCCTCAAATCTGCCACCGGATGGCAGCATTCCCCTAGCACAAGCACTTTAAGACGCTCCGCCTCCCTCCATGGCCTCCCTTAGGATTCTGGAGGGGCGTGCACTCCCAGGGAAGGAGGCCTCGGTGAAATGCTTGGCTCCTGGAAGGAAGGGAACCTTTGCCCCATGCGTGTCAGAGCAGAACGGCTTTCTGCGGTGCCACAGAAGGGGGTTGCGGGCCTTTCTTTGGCGATGCCCCTGGTGCACTGGGACCTCCTGCTTCTCAGTAAGCAGGGCAGCCTTTTCACCCAGGAGACTGACAGCTGGGGGAGAAGGGCCACCCATTCATGCCCTGGACCTAGCTACTTCTCAGCCACCTTAGTAGCAGGGAGAAGCCCTGTAAGGGGGAGCAGGTGTTCAAGAAGTGCTTACGTATTGGGCTGCTAGCCACACCGTCAGCGGTTCAAAACCACTCGTTTTCTAATCCCACGAAGAGTTGCAGTCTCTGAAACTCAAGGGGGCAGTTCTACGCTGTCTTAGAGGGTCGCTGTGCGTCCGCACTGACTGTCTCCACAGCAGTGAGATTTGTGGTAGGGATGGGGCTCCTGTCCGTCCCAGCAGGGCTGACCACACAGACTGGTGACCCGCGGCAGGGTTTCGTGGCCACCACCGCGCTGTACTGCGCAGCTCTGGGTGTGCCCGGGAGGGGCGGGAAGGAAGACACTCAGACCGTCTGGAATAACAGACAGACAGCCAGGCGTAAGGACCCAGACATGTTCACTGAAACAGGACGCTTATGCCATCTGTGAAGTCGCCATGTCGGCCCAGTCGCGGCAGCGCCCCCCGCCCCCCACATGGCCTGAGACCCGCAGTGGGGGCCCTGGCTTCACTTCGTGCCCTGAGCCAGCCCGCACCCTGCCGGCACCCACAATTGCCCTAGTGAAAGGTTGCTGAGTGAGCCTGTGAGGAGGGAGAGCAGGGGACCTCTAGGGGTGCTGCAGGGGGTGCGATGTGCCCCACTACTTGCTCATTGGGGAGGGGAGGTCTTTAAAATCATAAAGAGAGAACTTCTTCCCAACTCCCCATCAAAACCCCAAAACAAACTCACCACCAACAAATTGGTTCCTCCCCACAGGGGACATAGTGCTATCTGTCCCCAGTGAGTCTCCAAGGCTGTAAATCTTTCCAGGAGCAGAGAGCCTCATCTTTCTACCTTGGAAAGGTTGGTGGTTTCGAACTGCTGACCTTGTGGTTAGCAGCCCTACTCCTAACCCACTACGCCACTGCGATGCCTCCCACTCAACACAAATTAAAAACAAAACTGAAGGAAGAAGGATGTGTGGGTGGGTGTAGTCGAATGTTGCCTGAAGTATAGTTCACGCTGTACTTACGGGGGTGGGGGTGGGGGGGTGGACCATTAGCATACGACACTCCCCCGGATACCATCTCTGTCCACTCATGCTTCGGGTTCTGCCCCAGGCCCTGTCCCCTCCGTGGTGAGGACCGAGATCTTCCTGCAGTCCTCCCGGCCCGCCGCGTTCATGGTGGATGGCGCCGTGCACTGGCTCACCAACTTCATCATCGGTTTCGTGTTTCCTTCCATCCAGGTGAGGGGGACGTGTCCGCTGCCCCACCGGCAAGGCAGAAGGGGCTCTAGGCAAGGAACAGTCGCCCACCCCATCTTCCACTAAGAGTGTCGTCTAGAGCCACTGAAACACAGCCACAGCTCCAGAAAATACGTGTGATGGCCATGCCTGGCTACTCGATAAATAGGCTCTTGTCCCACATCTCACAGGGAGTTCAGACACTCTTGCCAGCTGTAAGGGGTCCCAGGAGAGCCTGTCAGTGCATAGCCAAAAACAGACTAGATTGATTCGAGGAATTTTACATTTATTCCTGAAAGCTCCAACAGAAGTCAGGTTTCTACCTCTGAACTGTTGCAGAGTTTGGTGCCAATCCAGCAAGTTATAGACTTTAAACTATGTAGCAAGAAACAGGCTTTGCGACAGTTCTAGGGGGTGATTGACAGGCTTTACAGTATCAGAGGACAAAAGGGAGCGAGGTTCACAGGAAACAGTTACATTTCCCCAAGATCATCAGTTGATTTCGTCATTGCTCCGGGGGCTGTCAGACTGGCACTCCCTAAGGGTTCATTGATTATCTAAATGGCCTGCTTCCACTTTATAAAGCACCCTTGAATAATTTTCAGAAGCCCTGGTGGTGGTTTGAATCCACCACCTAAGGACTTAGCCACTGTGCCACCCAGAGGTGTGTCCCAGCTATGGCCCGCACCGGGGCACCATCTGAGGGGCACCACTGAGCAGTTTCTATTCACATGGCAGTTGTCACGGCCAGCTGAAAGAGGTCATTCGGCAAGTTCAGATGGATGCCATGGCTTTCAAGCTGGCATCGGGGCAGGTGTTTGGCACTGCCCCTGACCTGGCCTTCTCCACTCGCCCTGCTTTCTCTCTCGGCCCAGGCCCTCATTGGCGCCTACAGTTTCCTCATCTTTGCCGGAATCTGCCTCCTCACAGCGGTGTACGTCTACCTGGTTATTCCGGAGACCAAGGGCAAAACGTTTGTGGAAATCAACCAGATTTTTGCCAAGAGAAACGGGGTGGAGATGACAGAGAAGAAAGAAGAGAAAACAGAAGTCACGCCTCACGGACCCCTAACACCTGCCAGGGAGACTGCCTTTTAACGAGCCGGAGTCTGTGCGCCACCACGGGCTCCCTGCAGGGGAGCCTCCTCTGAAAGAGGGGCTCTCCCCTGACCACGCTTCCTGGGTTCCTTTCCCTGTCACCCCAGGGAGGCCGATCGCTCTGCAGTTTGGGGGCCCTCCGTGGTAAATAGAAGGCTCTGGAAAGGTTAGTCCCCAAGTTCGTTTGTTGAAAAGTGGGTCATTTCCATGGCGAACCACTGAGAGGGTTGTCCTAGCGACCGGCAAGTAGATAGCTTGTTCTCAACTCTCTGATTCGACAAGAGCACCCAACCTTGAATGTTGTACGAATGTATCTTTTTAAAGTAAAAAGTTTCAAGTTCAGTGTTTGGCATGCAGCCCTGACTACCGATGACAGCAACTCGGCTCTAAAAACCTTCCCTGTCCACTCTGTGGCCGTGAACAACCCCACGGGTGCTGGTCACAGGGGCAGTGGGGCGAGAGGTGAAGACCTCCAGTTTGAGCAAAGCAATCCCAAGCCTGGCCCTTCCCCGGAGCAAGTCCGTTGGTGTTTTCCCTGGAGGTAAGGCGGGCATCCTGTCACCTGTCGATACAGCCTTGGCTTTTGGAAGACCCCTGCCAGATCCTGGATTTCCTGCCCCCACCCACTGTCCAGAACTTGGGGATCTCCTCTCCCCCAAACTGCCCACACCCTGCTCGGCCTTCCACACTCCGCTGAAATGTGCCATTGTCACGGTCTCGCTGTGCCCAGACTCCAGGGTCTTGCCGGTGCTCAGCTCAGTGCCTCATGAGCACTTCTAGCAGGTGTTCAAGAACTGCTTGTTGATCCAGATAGACTTCGGGGCCCCGTGCTCCTGACGCCAGGCTGCGACAGCAGCAGCCTCTCCCCGGGTGGCCTCGTCAGAGTTTTGCCATCCTGACGGCTGGGGATCAGGCGGCGTCACTCCACGTGCCAGTGCTCCGTGTCTTGTTTGGAAAGGCAGACCAGTCCTTGTACTCTGCTTGGTCTCCATGGGTCCACCCACCTTCCCGCTTCAGCCCGGGGCCTCCAAAGCCGAGACGCCAAGACAGGAACAAGGCTCAGGTCAAGGTTCCCGGGAATGACGTGTATGTGCGTCCAGGTCACGGCGCTCAGCCCCAGTCCTGTAAATTCACTCATTGGCCTTGGCTGTGGCAAGCCAGGCCATTTGTAGGAGGGAGTGGAAAACTCTCTCAAGAAAACCCTTCCATTTTCGTGCACAAAAGGAACAGTTGCCAACTGGAGTTTAATTATTTATGAAATCCAGACCCACAGAGACCCTTCTAGAGCAGCGGTTCTCAACCTTCCTCATGCCGGGACCCTTAATACAGTTTCTCATGTTGTGTGACCCCCCC